AGACGAGACTCAATCACACTCGCTTGATCCTCCGGGAGGTGAAACGGCACCACCAGAACAACCCAGTAAAGTTCCAGAGAATGTCCTACAGTACATCACAGACCAACAACGTGTTCGACCGTATAATCTTTGAAACCACGAAGCCTAATCTATATTCCCCTGATAATAATCCTTCCGGCGGGGAAGAATGTTATATACGGACATTGTGTTTAAATTTTTACTCGCTATTCGTTAAACTAACTGTGTTTCCTAATGTTTTGGCTGATGTACTGGAATTGTTAGAAGATTAAAGCCAATCATTCGGCAATCCTCGTTCTCTATTTCTGGCACAATCATTCGAGTGCGTAACAGTGCAGACCTTCAACACTTAGCACCGTTTTGGTGAGTATAGGTAAAAAATCACGCCTATAGTCAGCTTCGCTAGTCCGGCTAGCATGATACCTGGGGAGCTTATGCTAAGAGCAACTAAGCCCCAATTGTCACAGCTGTTCGGCGCTTACAATCAGATATGGATATTTTACTGGTAGCAAAATACCACAATACTGGTAGCCTGGTTGCGTTGATTGGTTGTAGATCGGAACCTCGATCCGTTTGCCGAGCAGGACAATTTTTTTGCAAACGCTTCTTTCCAACTTAGGTGAAATCATCCGTACTGAGAACGTTCCTTGGCCCGAACTCTGATTGCTACAATAGTAGTAAGTTCAGTGTGGGTTACACGTGTTTCTAAGTGTGATTAATATGCGTCCGAAATGTTTTTTGAAAAGCGGTACAATGAAGCAGACGTCAACAGCTTGCCACCTGAGCTTACTCAAGGTTACAATCAAAAAGGTGGAAATAGTCGTCTTCAGCCCAACCTAAATCTACCACCTTGACGTGATGGTTAGGATTGAGTGCAGCGATGACCCCGCGGGTCACACTGGCTGGAACGTTACTCCACAAGGTGCAGCCATCCCAGGAAGGCCAAAATGGCACTCAGATTAGGAGCAGCGAGACATTTTACTACGAGTAATTGTGTTACGAAGCGGTCTGGGGAAAGTCGTACTGCCCTCTGTGATGAAAGAGTGAAGGCGGGAGGAGGTTTTCTCCAGGTGACTAGCATGTCCATACCCAAGGAAGCAGCGATTCTACTTTCCCCAGATGAAGGACGGGTTAGAAAAGATTGACTCTAAAAACCCAACACCCCGATCGCCCAACGATTGATTGTGACCACCGGGTTACTATTCATTACGGTCAAAATACTTTTAAAACCGAAGTGTTTGATGTTACTCAAAAGGCAACTGCTGTGAACAGAATCATCGCAAGTGTCATTCGGTTAGGCCACATCCCTGCTGCAGTGCAGTTCAGACTAATGAGTCATGGGCTCCTGGCATGGTCTCCGAAGAAAACACATTTGCTCGCTGCATTGTCGGTCAGACTTCTGAGTCAGAGGCTAGAGGAAGGGTCCCCAAACAAAACCCTACATCCTCCTACTGCATTGTGGGTAAAACTTGAGTCAAGGACTCAAGAAGGGGATATCTCAACCAAACCTTATTCTTCGGCTCGGGCTACCAGGAGGTATCACTTGCCCGCACAGTTCATTTTCCACGAGTACACTTCCCCAAACCCTTCCCACATCACAAGTGAACACTGCTAGGTCATCTGGCCGTCATTTATCTGACCATTGGGTCTTATGCATCCCGAAGCCTATTAACAATATACAAAATAAAAGCTTGCTTAATCCATGAGGTCCTTTCAGCATAGGAGCTTTTAACCTCTTCACTCTATGTCAAACCTGCAAACAGGCTATGCTCGCTGAAACCTTATTCTCTTTTAACATTGATGTATAATGTGTCTCCGAAACACGCGTACCAAGAGTGGTTATGCATATCAGAACGCTAAGAAAGGAATCAGCTTTTTTACAGTTCACTCTCCATGTGTCCGGTGATCCGAATCAATCACCTGTGGAATATATGACTTGAGAGTATTACTCAGCCCCAGAACTGAGCGTGCATTGCCGGAATGGATTTCAGCGCCGTCCGGTTATCCAGCTCAGTGACTCTCGACATATAAAGCAGGGCCAGTTTGCAATGTCGGCTTATGTCTCAACGGACTGCAGCTCTGACGCTGAGGGTACTTTCTATCGAGCGTTACCAGGGATCATTTGTCGAGTAAGAAGCATTTACATCATGATCCTTGCGGGTGATAGGCTTACACAAGTCAGTCGTCCGAGATCCTTGGAATCACGTCTGGGCGGGCGATTCGGTCGATGTTTTTCGGACAGACAACGGAAAGCGATTCCTTCAATTGTGCGCTGATCATGAAAATTTTCCGGCCAGTACGAAATTTCAGTAAAACTTTCGCATTCCGTGGCCTGGTGGCCACCACAGGTAAATCAATCGTGGACCCAGTTGGATCACGTGGTTGTCAGCCATCGGTGGAGTTTCGCAAGGCAGGACTGCCTTTCCTTCTGGTGCATACAAATTGTTTCCGATCAGGCTATGGTGCGTGCACGCCTGACAGTTCGTTTCCCTCAGGTACTTGCAGGTCACCAAGAATTATGCCAATCCACCATCTTCAAAGAACTACCATAGCTCAATAGTATCAATCTGAGCTAGCTCAACGACGCCATACAGTGAACTGATACCGTACAGGTGGCGGGAACATGGGTAAAGCATGGCCAAGTATGAGAGAAGCTATGTCATCGGCATTCAGTTCAGTCTGTTCCTCTTTTATGATACAATAAACTTGCCAGTAGATGTCGTCCAGCAGGCAACAAGTAGGACGGCGCAGGCAAATCCATCAAATGCCAAATAGTGAAGAGCCTAAGGAAGGACCTACAGCTCTGATGGAAATAGAAATCTCGGGTGACGTAGAATGCATTTGCTAAGGAAACAGCCATGCTTTATATAAACTGATGCAATCGACTGGCCCAAGGAAAGTAAGGGTCAGTGAAAAAGTAGGTCAAAAAAGCGGCTGATTAATTAAGTCACATAAACGACGACTGAAATATATGAGCCGAACACAGAACAGTTTAGCTGGCCTCCTGCAACATAACCTCTGGACTGCATACGTGACGTAGAATGCATTTGCTAAGGAAACAGCCATGCTTTATATAAACTGATGCAATCGACTGGCCCAAGGAAAGTAAGGGTCAGTGAAAAAGTAGGTCAAAAAAGCGGCTGATTAATTAAGTCACATAAACGACGACTGAAATATATGAGCCGAACACAGAACAGTTTAGCTGGCCTCCTGCAACATAACCTCTGGGGATACTGCATACGGGTGAATGAACTGTAAAACTTGATTGCCAGTCAGAAGGAGAAACGAAGTACGAAGTACCCTTAGTGAAACGTGAGACGGTCTCTATCCACCCCCCTTCATAGAAGGGGGAATAACTGGTGACCTATCTTACAAAACGCACTGGTACAATATGGAGAGAAGAGGAATTGCTTGCAGAATGAGGCATGAGGAGTTAATCCCATCTTTAAAATATGTAAAAAGCAGCGTAGCATCAGCGTGGTAGCTGTGGTATCGAAGGCGCCCGGTAGTCTTATCCTTCGAAGGTTGACTGAACACAGGGAGAGACAGATCCGTGAAGAACAAGCTGAATTCCACGCAGCAAGAAGATGCATCGATCAATTTTTCACGCTCTGATGGATTCCGAAACAGCAACACTGTTTCCACTGACTAACAATGATCGTCTTTTCTCAACTGAATGCTATCCTCGACTTCATGGACCGTCAGGCACCATGACTGTCTTTGGAGCAAAGATGTCCCCCATATATTTATTGACCCCCCGTAAGGCGCTGTACGCCAACTTCCGCGGACGTGTGAAGGCCTACGGGAAGTTCTTGCCTGAGTTAACCACATCAGGTTGTGTCAGGCCAAACTGTCCGCTTTCATCTTCCGTCTCCAACTTTGTCATTCACACAATTATGGAAGACTCACTACCAGCCTCCAGTGCTCCATGGGCATCCGCTTACATATCGAATACGTAGACGACGCCGTAGCAAACGACATTAATTATTTTAAATAATTCTGCCTCGTGGTTTGCAATGCGCTCCACGCGTGCAAAGTGCTGCTTCAAGATTGGGTGGGTTTGAACCCTAGCGTTATGCTTGCGGATGAGCCGATTGAGATAGACAAATCTGTTTACCTGGGCTGTCGTATTAGTCCCAGAATGAATGATAAGTAAGGCCATTAGTTTAAGAAGGTAAGAGAGAAAGAATAAAAAGAATACGAGATGCATTCATTTACTTTTATTAGAGTTTATAATAATTTAGTTCATCCCTAATTAGAACATGACCAATCACAATCGGTTTTGCTTGTGCATACAAGTGGCCTAGATATGAAGGATTAGTTTGCCATAGGAAGAAGAAAGGAAAACATTTGAAGTGATAACAAATAATTCCGTTTTGTGTTATCGCCAGGTACACTGGCAACAGACTTCCCTTTATTATTGCTCCTGGCAAGCTGAAAATGCGTTGGTATCCCACGACCTTCGTCCATCGGCTGCTGTACGTGAATGGATTAATGTTACGAGTTTTAACATTCATACTGGAGCCATTTCACTGAACTGACGATATTATTGAATTACTGGAACTTTTCGAACAACTGAAGAAGTCTCAGGAAAAGTTTATTACGTTAAAAAGGACCAAATATTCCTTTTTACTATATATATTATATATATATATGTATAGCCAACAAGCATGTGGTGAGTCTGCAACCAATGCCACTCCAGCGTGCCTTAAAAACTCTTCGTTGTTATGACGGCGCAAGCGACTCAATTCACAATTTGAGCAATGTGTTCAGTTTCTCATGCGGTCTAAAAAATGCGGTCTAAAAAAATGTCCTATGGGCGAACGGAAATCGCCCGAGGACAACAAGAAGTCTTGTCAAACGAGGGTGGTGTGGGATGAATTGCACAAATACCACAGCTACTGAAGAAGAATTAAAAAAGACGTTCCAAATTTTAGTAGGTGCAAGTTTTCTTTGTAAAATACAGCTATCCGAGCTTACCGAAAATTAAATCCTCGTCCAATGGGTGCATCCGGATCGTCCAGTCTGCTGAACTTGTATTCTGGAACGCAGTACTTCTTGTCCCAGTCCAAATCGCAATCCCAGTTGATGTCAATTCCGATAACCCCACCCTAAACAGAACAATAATGACAAGGTTCAAATTGGAACAGCATTTGCAGAATTGATATGCTTGGATAGAGTGAGAGGCCTGTTGTTACTGCTCAAGGAACTCTACTGCTAGACCAGTAATCTGTTGGGTATACCAATGATGGAGGGTAAAAAATTATTACAGTCCAGACTGTGCACGCCAGTGTTAGCGCGGAAAATAAAGTGACCAATATGAAACCCATAATATCCGAAAATAATTTCCATTTCGGACCTATTAATAAGCCATGAAGCTAACTTTTTTTGACAAACTTTATAAGAATAAGAAGGAATATCTAGCGTGGTATACAAATATAATCATACTCAAAATAAACTGCGAGGTTCTGTGTGAATAATGACATTTAACTGTTTGTATGAAGGCCTGTCTCGACTATGTCACGCTCGACAGGCGTACTTTAACATTATAATACTTGAAGTACACAGAAGCAGATCAGTCGTTCGCTTCAGTCGTTTGTTCAATCTAAGAATACTGTGCTATTTGACCTGGCTAGCTTAGTTCTGTTTGGCGTCCTACTTAACACACACTCTTATGAAAAAGAAATCCGTCGATCGGTTCTATGGAGCATGAAAACCGAACTCAATGATAGTGCGAATAATGTGATCAATTGAGACGGACTTTTGCACTCCCTGGAAAGCACTATAACCTACCTGAGTTCAATGAGGAAGACCACGTGAAAAATATAACAGTGAACGTAATATTTTCGAAGCCCCCTGAAGCAGATTATATTCCAGGAGTATTTGCTGGCCCAAAAGCACCCAGGCATCGACTTAGTCTGACTGGTAAATATGGCTTTCTGGATCTCGACGCATATCTGCAGCAGTTGTAATACCCAAGCGGGGAAACTGGTAATAGGACTTTTACATCTGGCAATGTTGGTGGTTACACTTTGGTCTAAATCTTATCGGATTTGTATATGGCTGCAGTGTGATCTTAAATGATAAAGTGCCATTTCAAACGGTACGACGAGAAAGGTGCAAAATAGCCCAGGCTGGAACATCGACTGAATCTTATGGTACACAATTCCGTATGCTACAAGGCGCATAAGTTGAAGGTATGAATATCTTGATGTGACTAGCTAGCGGCGATATTTAGTTGGCACAAAAGGTAAATAATCAAATAAATACCCAACCCCCGGAAGAATATGCAATTCCTTCTCTAGGTGCTTGAGCAGGCTGAATGTCTTATGTGGATTTTTGGCTAGTATCGACAAAACGTGCTCCCTGTTTTACCGTGGACTGTCAGATCGACGATCAGGTTACTAAGAACTCTAGTTGTCTTCATGGAAACCTGAGTGCTAAACATACCTGACATGTGTGACATCTGAAGGACGGCAAACTAAAGGCATAAAAATATGAGTCAACTGATCAAACTAACAAATATTTCTGTGTAATTTCAACTAATATAAAGTGTCTACTCATACTACCTTAAACATGTTTTTACCTTGTGAAAGCAATCCCGAGAAATGAAAACCCTCAGAAAGATCAACTCGCTTCTGCTTCCTTAGAACAGAGTGGAACTGAATTTCTAGTAAAGCCACGTTGAAAACCCGAAGTTGAAAACCCAAAGTTTGGATACGAAACTTTACACTCTAAAACAACATCCATTTTTATTAGATGAAATCAGTCATGTTACCTGTAATTTGATGCGAACTTTTAGCCTGTTTATAGTTTTTCTCTGCTAAATTACGCCTTAATTTAACCCTTTTCGTCACACATTTCCCTTTTAGTCAAACTAACCGGAAAACTCCTCATTTGAGAGTCTATTGTTTCGTTTGCAAATAATACTGCAGGGAAGAACCACAGTATAATATTCTGTTACAAGTATGATTTCAGTTACTAGAGAGGCAGATATCACAACTTAGTTTGAGTTTCATGAATTATTCTAGACTGTTCTTTGTCCCGTAATACTTTCGTATATTCTAATTTCAATCACGGCCTGATTTTTCAAGTGTTTAAGGGCATTGGTTGTAATCGGAGGCTGCTTGATCCGATGTACCACAGAGATGTTGCGGACATCTCATGCAAAATTAGCTGTCGTCACGTCAGGGCTGTCAGTTCTTATTCAAGCCTCAGAAAAGATGATTCGGTGAGCTTCACGGCCGAGAACTGAGCATGGACAACATGTTGGATTAAGGGTGCTGAAAACGTAGTCCCAATCGACCGCTACCGGAGACATTATTCGGCTGCGATTACTTCATTACTTCATTACGCACAATAGCTGGGCGTAATTTACTTCCGGGTGACCATTCTCCTGGCATATATACACAAGCATAGTTCGGAATTCTTGGTTGGTATCGCATTGTTGATCATATACGTGGCCTTCTGGCACATGCAGTGCCAGATTGAGCAATCCCGCTTTTTGGTTTTGGACAAATAAGCTAAAGTTCTTAATAATAATAAGTTCATTTCGATGGGTTGGGGAAACACAGAGGTAGAATCATAAAATGTCAATCTTTACTCGGTTTGCATTATGAAAAAACCGCTCTGGTGACATTTAATGCGATTCGTTCTTATCGTTAGGTTTTTTTGTGTCGCAACAACTGTTGAAACGACTGGTGCGCAAATCAATAAGTGAAAATGTCTTGGTGAGAAAAAGTCACGAGATTCTGTCGGACTCCTCCATTCAGTTCAGGAGACAAAATTCTTAAAAGATGTCAAACATATTCGTTCATACGCAACGACCATATAATGGTAGGCGAGATGACGAAAATTTGGAAACATCTTTTAGTCCTGTGATTGTTACACAAGTTGCACCAGCACTGGTCGACATATTAAGAAAACAACGAAAAGGAAGGTATACGTCGACCGGAAAAAAGCTTGTGCCACACACGACGCATCTACGTATCTACGCTAGAGCGTAATAGTCAAACTCGATGGCTTGGAGATACGTCCTTCATATTTCTCCCACTGGGAGTTGAACCAACCGGAAATTTTTAGAACTTCGTTCAAATCAGTTCATTAGGTAGGAAACTGTGAGCACTCATCATTGTGCTACTACGGGGTATTCGCAACGCCCACAGCGAAGTCACTCAAGCTAAGTTGCCGAAAACCCATCCGAAAAACGTGGCACCTAACGGACTTACGCTAATAAGTATTTGGGATTAATGCCATATCGACACTAGTCTGGGCTCCGAAACAGGCTGAGACTTCAACTTCTCAGACAAAAGTAAGATTTCTGAAGGTGGGCTAGCGTTCGCAGTGCTCTCTCTAACTACGTGCTTCTCATTGTTATGTTCAGTTGTATCATGTCTCACCACACAAGTTTGGCCAAACGAAACAAGTGTGACGCAAATAACGGAGTCGTATGACGCAAAGTGAATCAGTATTGTCGTGTTTGTAAAACTACAGTACTGCTTCACAGTACCCGGATTCCCTGGCTTAACATTTGATAAAGGAACACTCAGGCAAACAATTTCTGACGTAATCTTTTGAGCTTTTAGAGCAAAATACAGGATTTGTTTTGCTCAGCACATCGCCAAATGCTAAAACTATTAGTTGAACTCGTTTGGTACGAAACCTTACTTCTCGGTGCGTGGTATATTTAGGTATTTTAATTCCAGGCTTGGAGGCCCCGAATCAAACACTGAGTTTTCAAAACAGAACATCTCTAATTGGCAAGCTTGAAAGAAAAACAGCGCATGCAGATATCTAAAAATTGAAAAAAGCTTGGGAAAACACCATCGTCTATCGAAAGGAATACCTGTCTTCAATGGGGGTACGTAAACCATAAACTGCAACTGGAATATCATTTGGTGTTATATCACAACAAGAGTGGTTGATTCAACCTAACATGACTGAGTATTGCTTTTGTGTGTCCGCTTTTGTGTTTCCAAATTCAAACAAAGTTCCCTGAAAATTAACCAAGCTATAACTCTCTGAGAAGTGGGTGCTCACTGAAGGGAGATTTCTTTCTCTAGTGTTTTCAGAACCTAAAACCATGTTTTACTTGCTTAGTACGATTGATTTTATCACATAAAGTTCCATAAATAGCCTCAGATTGAACATTTTCTGGAAATCATTTGAGAAATACTGTCCTCCCTATTTTCGGTTACCCGTCCATCTGTAGGGTTAATTGGCTTGAAAGCATCGGTTCTACATGGAATGAAAAACAGGCTTTTGGAAAACGGCAGTAGGTGGGAAAACATCAGCGTTCCGAAAAAAGGCTTAAAAACGCAGATCACGCGACCATTTTTATTTCATCCCAAACTGGTTTCCTAATGTAGAAACTTTTATTGTTAGTGGAATAAGATGTTACCATTGGACGTTTCGGTTGTCATGTTTGAACTATAAAAGCTTCCGTTTTATAAGAAACGCGGCGCTCAAGCTTTTTAAAAATATCTGAGCTGATTTTGGTCAGGAACTCCAAAGTCTTCGCTTCAAAACTATTTGAATAATTAGAAATCTCTGGAAGCACAACAACGAGATGGTCGAATATATGCACAAAAACGTTCAGAAAAGTTGTCTCCGGGTTTGATATATAAAATTAGAAATGGCTGTTAACGTGACCGTTAAATAGAAGCCAAACACACGATACCACTCAGTGAGCATCCATGCGTGTCTCCAATCGGTTCACTGTAAGAAGCATGAAATCGGCTGTGGAACTGATGCTCATCTAACCCTGTTAGCGCCATTGCAATGAGAAGCCCTGTTTATCAGGAGTTAACCCAGGTGACTCTATGTTTTTGTCACCTCGCTAAGCTTTGCAAAAAACCCGACAGTGATGCCCAATAGGTTTTGAGTCAGGTGATTGAATTCGACTCACTAATGGGGGAAATGATTTGGTCAGAACGAGAACACCGTTATGTTTAGGTAGAAAAGAAGATTGATGGAAACTTTGAGAGTACGTCCAATCGATGGGCTTCAGCAAAGAAACCAGAAGAGGTTCAATGAAATGTTCTCATTAACCTTCCAGAAATTTTTTCCCCGGAAGAGCTACCTGTTATTCCTTTTGCAACTTCAAGGTTAA